GTCGGATAATCGATGCTCTACTATATATGTTGGTGGCCGACTTATAAGGACCAATCAGAACGCATGCTATAGATCAATACACTAGCCAATCATGGTAAGTTTTTTAAATTAAACAGAAAACATGGCTGTCATGGAAAGCGATCGTGCATTTAGATATATCATGTCATTATTAGATTAGTCAATCATGTACTTTCAACGTTTAGTTTCTTGTAAATCTCTGTCCAAAATTATTTTTTTTATGTTGTCTTTATAATTGGTTCGCCGAATATCATAAAAGCCATAGATATATTCTGACTTCATTTATTAAAGCTTCTGAGAAATCTATACTTTCCGTCATTTTCTAACTTCGACGTAGATTGGATAAATCTAAACTCTGATTGGTTATAGCTTCGAAGCTCTCATTGGCTGTAGCTCACCGACTGCTCCGACCCAACTACAAATATTTAATTTTTCAAATCTGTCCGACTGGAACGACTTGGCGTCGGGCCAGTCGGTCCAGTTGGTCATAGTGTGAAACAGTCCTAAGCTGTTGTATTAGTTCCTTCGGGTTGGATTTGGTAAACCAGTAATCCTGTAAGTGCGTGGTGAGCATGTTGTGTGTGGCTTTCTCTAATATTCGAGTGGGGGCCCTTGTCTTATCTACCACTGGATGAAGCTGTTGCTCTTGCTTGTGGGTCTTGGTGAAGGCGAACAGTTTAGGAGCATCAGGAGCATCCACAATGATATTTTTTAAGTTTAGTTTGTTAGTGAGCTTCGTGTTGGCCAGATGTTTGACCTTGGATTATAACTTATCAATCCAATCCTCTTGGACTTCTGTGCACTGGGTCCTGTGAATGTACTCACTCAAGTGCCTGTCGTAGGTCTCTTGTTTCATCAATACTAAGTGTTTGTCTTTGTCCGCCCAGACCAATATAATCTTATTGTGATATAACCATCTAGATGTTCTCCTTAATTTTTCATGGAGGGTTACAATCTAGTTGCATACTAGGCCCCTTCTGGGCCTCAAAGAGCCCAGAAGGGGCCTAGTACGCAACCACTCCAGTTAACAGGTTTCACATAAGTGTAACCTATCTGTCAATTATCTGTCAATATTAATTATCTGTCAATTATCTGTTAATATTGATATCTTAATTATCTGTCAATATTGATAGCCGTGACATATTTTGATATAAAATATTTTTTTCTTAATTTGTTATTTGACAAATAATTAATCAAATTAAAAGCAAAATCTTTAGATGTCATATTAACAACTTAATGAAAACCCAATACATTATAATAAATTTTTCAAAAAATCTTTTAGCTTATATTTAAACAATAAATAATCTCCCAAACTTTCAAAATAATTTTTTAAAACTATTCTATATAATAAAATTTTAATATTTATTCATTTATTGTATATTTTATACATAAAAATAAACAGTGTGTTTATTTTTTATGTATAAAATCTGTTCATACATTTAAATGTGTGACAGTTTGTGTCTGTATGTGTAGTTACATGATAAATTATTTTAAAAAAAAATTTATTAACAGTGTATAGGTAGTAGTTTTTAACCAAAACTAAGACCTATTTTTGATTTAAATAGAGGATAATTGTCATTAAATTTCTAATATTAGTTTTTTTTCTGTCTGTATCTATATTCATAGTTGTTATGGTTTTATTGTGATCAGTTTGCATTATTTATAAAGAAAAGTCTTATACCATGACTCAAAACTTAAAACCAGATCAGTTTTATTTAATAGAGAATTGAATGCTGATTCCAAAAATGACCTTGATTACTCCTATTTTCACAATATTTGTGGTTAAATTTGACAATGCATGCTAGAAAAGACCAAAAAAACTGTCTTCCCACATCATGTCCTGTGTAGCAGAATGATTAAGACAACTGTATGCTGCAGCTGTAAAAGGTTCTAGGATGGAATCTGTAATTTATTTTCTTAAATATGTAGTCTAAATACTATTTTTGTGATTGGAATATATTTATAATGCTGCCTTTATTTTTCATTTTTATTGTATAAAATATTAAAAAGTTCTAGAAACTATAATAATAATTATTCTTGTGCTTAGAAGAAAGCAATCTCTGCAGTTGCAATCTACCTACATTACAAAAATAACAAAGAAAAAAGATCACAAGATTCAATCCTGGACCAAGAACATTTTTGGAATTGGCATTCAATTCCCTATTAAATAGAACTTGTCTGGTATCAAAGTTTTAAGTCACAGTACAAAGCTGTTTCCTGTTAGTGGAGTCCAGTGTAATAATATTGAGTGCATACTACCTAATATGTATTACCAGAATGATACTGTTGTCATCAATTATATGTTGTTTGTATGTACAGAACACATGCAGATGCAAATGATGACATTAGGTAGATAGCCAAAAATGAAATTAAATTTTTTTCACATAATTCTTGTCTTTTCTGAAAAGTATATTTTCCAAATTTCATCATAACATATTTATTAGATCTCATTTCTGATTCTGCTAGATAAGAGAAATGCAATGAACTTTGTGGTTATCAGAACTTAATTTAACAATCATCCACTACATATATATTAGTAAAAATTAATGATATATCAATATGATGTAAGAAACACCAAGTATCTTTTCATAATTAGTTAATATAATTGTATAAGTTCTGAGAAAATATCTTGATTCATTTATTAAATGAAAGGTAATAACACTACAATAAATGAAAAAAATATTTATTGTAAAACAGATGACAAACAGTACATCATTTTAATAATAAAAGAGATCAATANTAAATAGAGGATAATTGTCATTAAATTTCTAATATTAGTTTTTTTTCTGTCTGTATCTATATTCATAGTTGTTATGGTTTTATTGTGATCAGTTTGCATTATTTATAAAGAAAAGTCTTATACCATGACTCAAAACTTAAAACCAGATCAGTTTTATTTAATAGAGAATTGAATGCTGATTCCAAAAATGACCTTGATTACTCCTATTTTCACAATATTTGTGGTTAAATTTGACAATGCATGCTAGAAAAGACCAAAAAACTGTCTTCCAGCATCATGTCCTGTGTAGCAGAATGATTAAGACAACTGTATGCTGCAGCTGTAAAAGGTTCTAGGATGGAATCTGTAATTTATTTTCTTAAATATGTAGTCTAAATACTATTTTTGTGATTGGAATATATTTATAATGCTGCCTTTATTTTTCATTTTTATTGTATAAAATATTAAAAAGTTCTAGAAACTATAATAATAATTATTCTTGTGCTTAGAAGAAAGCAATCTCTGCAGTTGCAATCTACCTACATTACAAAAATAACAAAGAAAAAAGATCACAAGATTCAATCCTGGACCAAGAACATTTTTGGAATTGGCATTCAATTCCCTATTAAATAGAACTTGTCTGGTATCAAAGTTTTAAGTCACAGTACAAAGCTGTTTCCTGTTAGTGGAGTCCAGTGTAATAATATTGAGTGCATACTACCTAATATGTATTACCAGAATGATACTGTTGTCATCAATTATATGTTGTTTGTATGTACAGAACACATGCAGATGCAAATGATGACATTAGGTAGATAGCCAAAAATGAAATTAAATTTTTTTCACATAATTCTTGTCTTTTCTGAAAAGTATATTTTCCAAATTTCATCATAACATATTTATTAGATCTCATTTCTGATTCTGCTAGATAAGAGAAATGCAATGAACTTTGTGGTTATCAGAACTTAATTTAACAATCATCCACTACATATATATTAGTAAAAATTAATGATATATCAATATGATGTAAGAAACACCAAGTATCTTTTCATAATTAGTTAATATAATTGTATAAGTTCTGAGAAAATATCTTGATTCATTTATTAAATGAAAGGTAATAACACTACAATAAATGAAAAAAATATTTATTGTAAAACAGATGACAAACAGTACATCATTTTAATAATAAAAGAGATCAATAAAAGAAATAGCATTTTGTTCTTTGTTTTTCTCTATGACTGCAATAAAAACAGGAGAGAAGGTTATAAAATGTGTAGTGTAATAGTGTAAGTGAAATTTTATTTGTAGGTTTCTTGCAACTACTATCAGTTGATAGAATTCATAGTTATTTCATTCAGTTTATTTATATAATTAATAACAATCAGCTCTTAGCTATTCAGTTAATGTTAATAATTTTTTATTTTCTTTATTATAATTAGTTTATTTTAATATAAGTATCAAGGGCATTAGTTTAATATTAGTAATATAAATGCATATTACATTAGCATAAGTATATAAATTACTTTAATATAAGTAAATTATTTATGTTTAAAAGTAATTATAATAATAAAAAATGGGAATTAATTTCTTGTGTGTGTTTTGTTATTTTGATCTAAAATGTTATTTAGTATCTATTATAAATCAATACTTTGGATATTTTAAAATTTTATTGCTATTTTTAAAAATAATTTTTAACATTATATTTTTTTCTGAAAATTCAGCACTTTTAAGCATTTAATTTTTTTTTGTGAATTCTGTGTATTTTTTTTCTGCTATATTCTGCTTCCAGAGAAATTTTTTAGAATTAAAGTTGATTCTCACTGTAATAATTATAATAAAACAATATAGTTTTGTATTAAATTTATCTTTTTATATTTTTAAATTTATATTTTTATAATATATATTTAAATAATAATTTATATTATCTGGTGAATGG